AATTGGAGTCCAATAACATCAAAGTCAACTCTTGGTCAAACATATGAACTCTTAAGTTCTTCAAATTGCCAACTTTCGAGAAATAGAGTCGAATTCTTCTAGGAAACTCCAAAACCAAATCTGAACATACGTACAAGTCCAAAATCATCATACGAACATATCAGAATAATCAAATCCCTTTTCCTTTTCTTTATATCCAAAAGTCAAACATTGGTCAACTCTTCCAACTTAAAGCTTCCAAATCGAGAGTCATTCTTCTAAATCAATTCCGAACCTCTCAAAAATTAAAACCGACCATACACAAAAGTCATAATACATCATATGAAGCTACTCAAAGTATCAAACCACCGAATAGATGCTAAAGCTCAAAACGGTCGGTCGAATCGTTGCACACATCTTCTTACTAGGACATCTAAGCATCTCCTTTTCACATGTCTGAACCATCTCAACTTTGCTTCCCGCATCTTGTCCCCAACGGGAAACACTCTCACCTTGACCAGAGTATCTATATTCCTAATCTTATCTATTCTACTATGCTCGCACATCCATCTTAGCATCCTCATTCTGCTACTTTCAAGATGTGAGCCTCCATTTTATTTACCCCACTCTAATACGATGTGTGCTATCATCGTTAATCTCTCTATTACCTTTATAGACCCTAGATACTTTAAACTTCCTCTCTTCGGGATGACTTGTGTATCAAGCCTCACTTCTTTTTACCCGTAAAATGGTACAGTTAAATTTATATGTGATTTCTAGACAAGTGAATTAATTTGATCCTGGAATAATAGAAGAATTAAATAAATATGCAATACTTCTTGAGATGGAGATAAAATAGCAGAAACTGTAGTTCCGGAAGCAAGGTCTCCGGGCACAACAGCAATGAAATTAAAGAGCAAGAAGATAAAATTGTATTAAGATTTAAAATAAATTATAGCTTAAGTTTGCCAGAACATTTGTGTATTTTACAATGACAATAGAGCTGACTATTTATAGCTGCATCTAGGGAAAAAGGTCCTAGGGTCAAGCCCTCCTTTAATGTCAATTATGAGGGTCATTGAAGAATGTGTAACGGCTGGCATGAAGGTCAAATTCTTTATAACGGGTAGTGTACCAAATATTATAAAATATTCTTTATTAAATGCTACCGGGTGGCAAACATTTATTTTATCTTTATGAGCACTATTCTTTCTTATTACAGACGGAGTAGTTGCCTTCGGTTTTAGCTATCCTCTGCCTTCGGCTCCACGTGTCACCCCCTTATGCGATCACTTAATATAACATGTTTTACCTTATACAGATAGTCCCCCTACTTTCCGGTGACATAACTTTGTGTCACCGGGAAGTTGGTAGAAACATTCTTTTTGGTGGGAATTTCACTAACTCCCTCTGAAAACTTTTGATGGTTGATTAGACTCTCTCCGCATTTAATGTCCCGAAAACGCGTCATCCAATGATCCAGCATAACGTTTGCCGGCTATCGAGGTAATAATGGCCACAAGTTTAGCCGCCTAAACCTTCACTTATACGCATCAACTTCCTTCGTTTACGCTTCATAACACTCTAAAATTTCTAAGACTTTCTTCACTCAACTCATCTTTAACATTTCTTTAGCTTCCTTCTTTGAGAGAAAACCTTTCCCTTTGATAAAAATGGCCTCTTCTTCAGGAAAACCTAGTTATTCAAAGAACAAAGGCAAAGCTTGTGATGCCGCTCCTCCTACGGTAAGTACCATCGTCCCAAAGAACCCGATTACCACCAAAGATTTCGAAGAGAAGTTTCCTCCACTAACCCTCGTACATGGGCCGTTGGCAGATACCCTTCTTCCATCCGTCCTTCCAGTATTCCTGCTCTGAAGGAAGATTGCCGCTGCCAGGATTTAGACATTATCGCTCCTGATCTGGCGGAGAGGATAACTCTACCCAAGGAGGGTTTAACATATTTTTACACGTATACCTTTACTTTGGGAGCGTTTTCTCTAAGTGGAGAGCTTGACTCTGTCATTGTGGAGTTCTGCCTCCGTTACCAGGTGTGTTTGGCACAAGTAAGCCCTTCCGTGTGGAGGACGATTGCTTGTCTTCGGCGCTTGTTCCAAGAAACGGGAGAGGATCTATCCCTAGCTCAAGTGATGAACCTCTATTCCCCCAAAATCTTCCGCGGGGAAGTGGTAAACTTCAGCAAACGCGGCCACCATGCTCTTCTATCTAGCATGGATGATGACAACGACCGTGGGTGGAAGAAATGGTTAGTTGCAGTTGCCACTAATGATATCATTCCGGCAATGGCTTCATCCTTTCCGGAATCATGGAATCGCACTCGTAAGATCCCTGTTTACTATCTCTTTCATTACAGATCTTCTTATATCTTTATTGACTGTCTCAGCAACTCGATGGGTACTACCTAGGGTTGAAGTCTTGGAATAGTGGGTCCAAAAAATTTTGGACATTACTACGCTTGAAACCCGCACGTGAAAAGAACTAGCCCTTAAATACGGGTAGAAGGCCAAAAATCATGGTAACTTAGACTCATCTCATCTTTTGCTATTATGTGAGGAAAATGATTTATCCTTTCTCTCTTGTTGAATTCAAGTCTGCCCCAGGGCTCGGTTGTCATCCCCGAGGAGGACGTTTTGGTTCATACTGCTGATGCGGCGAGGCTGTTTCAGAAAGCCTTTACGCAAACAAGTGTTTCCAGGTTTGCTTCTGGTGCAAGTGCTTCTTCTCGGAGTCCCCGAATGGAGAACAAGCAACCAAAAAGGAAACGCTCATGCGCGGGCGGGGGAACAAATAAAAAGGCAAAGAGCGCAGCACCCAAGTTGTCTTCAGATATTATGGTGACAAGCGTCGCGCCGGGGTCGGTCCCAGAAACCGTGGTGATCGATGATGATGGAGAAGCCAATGATGATGAGGATTCTCTACATAGAGGACGACAATCTTCATCAACTCAACGGAATGCCTAATCTGTTGAGTTAGCTACGCCAACCGAGGATGATACCTCGGCACTCTGGGGGGGAGTTTGATGTGGTAGAAGAAGTCAACTCACGCTCCCGAGTCCCAGCTATCGCGCCCGATACTATAGGGCTAAGTATCGGGCCTTATTCATCTTTAGTTGACGAGCAACCATCAACCATTACTACACCTGCCGCAGCCGTTTCTCGCCCTAGAATGCCATCTGCTTCATTTCCCTCCTCTCCAACTCAGCCTTCGCCACCAGCAGCTACTACAGCTACCCGAGAGGAGGATGTCTCTCTTCCCCAGACCCTAGTTCATGGGAACCTGAGGCAAAACTATGCTGCTCCCTCAGAAGATCCTCAAAGGAGAAGGAGCGCCACCCTCCACTGGATGCAATATGTTGTCCCGGCCGGTGGAACTTGCTAACTATCTGAAGCCCTGTCTTCGGACAAAGATTGGGAAAAGATAAGAACTTTCTCAGGAGAATATTTGTTGAACAATGCCATGCACAATGCATCGGCGGTATAGTCTTTGTTTTCTTCTGTTGTTTCTTCTACTTGTGTAATGGCGAAGTTTTGAATTTGCATTCTTGTTTTACAGATCAATTTCCTTGCCTCCAAGGGCCTTCAAAGGTTGATTCGTGATAAGGAAGAACTTACCTCCGAGCGAGATCAACTTTCAGTCGAGAGAGGCCAAATTTCTTCTCACCTCTCAGAACTGGAAATTCGAGCTGCTGAGGTTGTTGAATTGGAGGCTCGGTTGCACCAAAGTGAATAGGAAGCAATGACTCTTAGCCAAGAGGTTGTTCCATTAAGGGCGCAATAAGAAGAAACTGAGGCCAAATGGGTTGAAGTTCATAATGCTGCCCTTGCTGCATCCGATCGTGAGGCTGCGTCTGCTGAAAGATTGCATAATTTGGAGGCAGCCTTAAGCTCCAAGGTTGAAGAACTTGCTGTTGTCGAAGAAAAGCTTGCCCAGTTGGAGGAGAAATATAAGAAAGCCTTTTCTCTTTATTTTTCTGAAGTAATAGTAATTTTAACTTTCGATAACAGATCTGTCACTTTCTGGAAGCAATTGTTCGCAAGGTCAAATTTTCAAAGGACCGGCCAAATAAGATCGGTTTTGTAAAAGAATGATGCAGATTTAAACGCCGGCAAAGAAATGCCGGAGAAGTCACTGGAGAGGAAGAGCAGGTCGGCAGAATCCAACAAGGCAGTATTTCTCAATATCTTTATTGATGACTCGCTTTGTGAATATAGGTGATTGCGGAGATGAGGAATTTTTGCTTGTTAAATCTAGGGTATCTTTTCCGAATATCACTTAAATAATTTATACAAATAGGGCACAAGTTGAATGGTGGCACAAAAATAGGCTATGACTGCAATTCACCCAGAAAACATCGTCAGAAAAAGGAAATAGACTTATTGTTTGTTTGGCCTAAAATTGAATAATCTAAAAATTGGTACGAAATATGACTGAATGTTACATCACATCAATACACACTTATAAAGTTGACTTTCATCAAATGAAAACCTTAATTATTATTATACGCGCAGATTATTTGCTGAACACTGTCAAATTGCAATCATTTGCTAATTAGAGCCCGTTTGGCTTAGTTGATTTAGGGTAGCTGATAAGCATTAGGTGCTGAAAAGCACTTTTAAGTGCTGAAGTTGATTTAAAAAATAAGCAGTTACGTGTTTGGATAAAAGTGCTGAAATTAATAATATGCAGCTGAAGAACTGAGTATACGAAGAGTTATGTTTTAAAAAGAAGTATTTTAGGGATAGAATAGTAAATATTTTGGTCAAACTTAAACTGCTTATAAGCTGAAATTTGATAAGTTGGAGGAGACCAACTTATGACTTTTGGCTTATAAGCACTTAACTTATAAGCACTTTTAATTTTACCAAACGCGTAAATAAGCCAAAAAGTGCTTATAAGACAGTTTGACCAGCTTATAAGCTTAGGCAAACACCCTCTTAATCAATTTCTTATCTCATGAGTATAATTTAACAGGTTACTCACCATTTATCATATATACATTACTAGTGAGCAATATTAAATAGATTTACTAGTAATTATATCTCATAATAAAAGAAATGATTGTTAAACATCCTTTATAAGATCCATACATACAACTTAAACTCGTAAATTCTCTTTGTTGCTTTTATTGGATAGAGCTTTGGTTATAAAATGACTAATAACTCCAATGGGGCAAGACATCAAGCACAATGACACAGAATGGCGGGTCTCGACACAATTCTGCAATCCATCAAGATAAACCAGCCTGTTTCAAAAACAAAAAAAATAATTAATTATTTAAGAGTTTTAACAGGGCATCCCATCTCCAAAACAAATAAACAAATAAATAAATAACCAAAAAAAAAAAGAGAAAGAATGGGGCAGGTAATTAAGAGCGAACACACACAAATATAGTCAAACTTCTCTATAACAACATCATTTGTTTCGGAATTTTCTTTTTTTGTTTATAGCGAAGTGTTGTTATAAAAAACATATATTATAACAGAGCATAAAAATTGGTTCTTTAAAAAACTTTCTTTTATAGTAAATGGTTATTATATAGCGATACTGTTATAGAGAGGTCTGCTTGTATAGAGATACCAACCTTGCAGCAAAAAGATCCATAACCAAGATGTGAATCCAAGCAGAAGCTAATGACATCTCCCTAGAGAACAACTGAGTTATACCAGCTTGCTGAATGACAACAAAATATTGTTAGGACCTCCAATAGTGCAATCAGTACAAAATATCACTTTATCCACTTCATTTTTATATGACAGCATTTAATTAGACACAAGGAGGGTGTGTTTGATACGAGGAAAATGTTCTCTATGTTGAGAAAGTTATTTTTGAGTGTTTGGTATGACAAAATCATTTTTTATGAAAAGGAAAAAAAAATGATGCTATATTCACTTATGATGAAAGTTATTTTCATTATAATTATTTTAACTTTTAACTTCATATAGTTGCTTCAACTAACATATAGACATTATAATTAATCTCCAGAGCTCAAAAGTTTCGTCAAAATATTTTCTAATTTATTGATATTATTATTAATCTTAACATATAATTTTGGTGGAATACGTATTTTCACACATCAACCAAACACCAAAAAAAAAATTCAATAAATATATTTTCCATGAAAAGTGACTTTCATCATATCAAATATCTGGAGGATAAGAAAGAAGAAAAAAAAAAGGCTTATGACATACCAAGTACGCCTAAACTTGTGGTTTTGAATACGACATAATAAATAAATTTCTATACTTATAAGAGCATGTCATTAAGGATAAACGAGAAAGTTCAAAACTTAAAGAGTTTTCAAATATAACAAAGTATCTTTTTTCCGGAAACAAAAAGAAAGCAGTGTAATTAATAAAAAATGGAACAGAGTGTGGTTGAGCACATACATCAGGGATCAGATCTTGATAATGAAATAATAGCTGAAGCGTATCTGGTCTCCAGGAAAGGACCAAGATATATGCGTACAGACGTCCAAGCACAATATAAGGTAATTTGCTTTCCATCACTTTGTGAGTCTGCAATTGGCAAGACGATTGACGAATTATCACCAGTGGTGAAGCCAGAAATTTTTTTAAGGGTATCCAAATTTGAAAAATCTCGACAAAGGGTGTTCAGTATATGTTATATACCTTTAAAATCTAATATTTTACCTATATATACATTGTAATTTTCCGATGAAAGGTGGTCAATCGACCATCCTTACCAGAGTGTAGCTTCGCCCTGACTATCACAACTTAACTTGGAAGTGAAGCAATGATTTCTCAGACTTCATGTTGTAGGACATACATTAACTTTATCCAAATTCAGTACCTCACAACTAATTGAAAAATCAATGCATATATTGAAATCATACAGTGCTCATAACATGAGGAGAGCAAAAAAAGATGGTGAGATAAGTTGTGCAAGGAAGTTATAAAATGGTCCTTATGTTTGGATTAGGTTTAGAATAGTCCCTTAAATATACTACTGAGCAGTTTTGGTTCTTTAAGTTCGTCAAAAGTACACATTTTGGAGGTGCAGTTATGCTACTTTTGATCTATTTTCGCTGCAGTTTCTACCTTTTTTTTTGTCATTGCTAGTATCTGGTGTAGTTTTTGGTGTTGTGCCTGTGAGACTTGACTGGACTTTCAGGATGTTTTTAGTTAAAAAAAATTTTTTAACCGTTCCACTTAAATCTACCAGTCAAAAGTTGTTATAGGAATTTTTATGCGGTATAACCGCTCCCCTCCCCACCCAAATAATAGTCGGAAAATATATATTTTTTGTATGTTACTATATAATACACATTTTATATATACAATATCTTTGTTTATATTTGACTAGCGACTGTAATTATTTTTGGCAGACCAGCGGCCAAATATGCTAAAAGCACTCGAAAATTATCAAGAAAACTTACAAATTCAGCTTTAGGTGCCACAACCATGAAGACATAAAAGGGAAGAACTGATAGTGATCCCAAAGGGAATGCAGTAGCAGCTATTTCAGAAGTTGAAAACCCTGCAAAAGAAGAGCACAAACACTTAATTTCCCCAAATACCTGATAATATACATGCTAGCAAGAGGCTTCTACATTGATTCAAAATGTTAAGAAATGCATACAATACTTCTTTTCTTTCTTTTATTTTTTATAACCGTGATGTCCAGGTCAGCTTGTGCGCACCTCGACTAATTTTATGGGGTATATGCTACCTTACACTAGTGTCGGTATCGGATAAAGTAACTTTGTCCATAAAGGCTTGACAAATGAGAAAAAACATACAACTCACAAAATTGAATTTGGCGCCTTAAATTAGACTTTTGGTTGATTTTAGCTTATAAGCACTTTTGGAGTTTGCAAAACGAGTAGATAAGCCAAGAAATAGCTCATCTACGTTCAAATTTGAGGAAAATATTCTTGAAGCAAGTAACTCATCTATTAATTATTCTTAATTAGCACTCTAAATTGCTGCAATACTTTTACTACTTGCTTCAAACATGTTCTTTAAAAATTCTAAGATCATCAGTGACTGAGACTGCAAATACTCCTTCACTGGGTAGGGGTAAGGCCTGCGCATACACTATCCTCCCCAGACCAGGGATGGATCTAGTGAATGAGCTACGCGTTCATATGAACTCAGTAGCTTTAGCTTAGAATTTGTGTATGTGTAAAAAAAATCATAAATAAGTATAAAAGGTAGATTTAGAATTCAGTAAATTAGATGGGATGTGGTAGAAATCCGAATTCGAACCCTTAAAGTTCAAATCGCGGATCCGCCTCTGCCCCAGATCCCACATGTAGGAATATACTAGGTATGTTGTTGTTATTGTTGTTTATATTATTTAGCACTAGTTTAAATTAATTTTTTCATTAATTAGCACACATTTAAAACTATGGAGGAAGATGATTACATGAAGCAGACACTCTTGAGCTCTTTCTTTGCAGAAGATTTCTTGTAACATTTGGACGAATAACGATTCTTGATCCTCCCAGAAAACTCCAACCAGTGCTTAACTTGCTTCTTAATTCCTCAACTTTTTGACGTGAAACATCAGATTTCACTGGTCCAAGAGCAAAAGATGCAGCATTGTTCCTCTTTGTATAGATGTTTGATGCCAAAGCAGAAACCCTACAGTTCGTCTGCAACTAGTAGTACAGAATCATTCTAGAATTAATTTTTGTCAAAAAAAAAAGTGAATTGTAGATCTCACCCAAACATTCGACTCTTGATAAATTATAAGGAACATACCTTTGGTGAAATGAAAAGGTGACAGAAACAAGAAGAAGAGATGGCCATGACTGAAGGGGAGGGAATATTCAACCAAGAATGCGAAGAAAATCAACAACGAGAACTATAATAAGGTAGCACTCTCATTTGCTATGGATATATAGTGCACGGATGTTACGGTGGGGACCCAGAAGCAAGCGGGTTCAATCTTAGAAGTATATAACTTTAGTCGTAAAATAGGTAAGAATTGCACGGAGCGCCCTATTTGGTCGCCCCCATTTAACCTATACCCATTTTTTTAAAAAGTTTTAACGTGTTCCCACTTTTTAAACAACTTCAGCCCCCTTTCTCCTCCTTCGTTTTCTTCTTCTTCTTTCTTCTGGTGCTGTTGGTGCTGCTATGAAACTTCAGTTCATAGGATGATTGCCATAAATATGTTTATCAGATTATTTAAAAACAAATTATAAATAATTACGTAAGTTAGTAGACAATAATTTGTGAATATTTCCACGTAATTCTGTTCTTTTCACGTTTATTGTTTCCAAAATTTATGATTTAGATACTGTTGGCAATCTGATTATTTATCTAGTATGTTATACACCATAAAAGGCAATCTGATTATTTATCTAGTATGTTAGAAAGCTTTTTCAAAAACTTCAGCTTATATAGTGTTGAAGTTTTTACAAATGAACTAAATAACTTCAGCATCTTCTGCTGAAGTTTTTGAAAAAGCTTTTATGACAAAACTAATGAATCCAGGACAAAAAAACTTCAGCTTTTAGTGCTGAAGTTTTACAAATGAACTAAATAACTTCAGCATCTTCTGCTGAAGTTTTTGAAAAAGCTTATCCAGGACAAAAGAACTTCAGCTTATTTAGTGCTGAAGTTTTTATAAATGAACTAAATAACTTCAGCATCTTCTGCTGAAGTTTTTGAAAAAGCTTAATGACAAAACTAATGAATTCGGGACAATAAAACTTCAGCTTATTTAGTGCAATTACAAACAAAAACTTCAGCAAATAAAGAACAAAACTTCAGCTACTATGCTTAAGTTCAGCAATTACAAACAAAAACTTCAGCAAATAGAGAACAAAACTTCAGCTACTATGCTTAAGTTCAGCAATTACAAACAAAAACTTCAGCACACTTGCTACTTCAGGCCCATCTACTAGAATGCTGAAGTTTTGTGTGATTGTCTTTGCTACTTCAGCCCCGTATGCTAAAGTTACGCGAAAAAGTGGGTACGCTTGCAATTTTTTTTGCAAAGTGGGCACAAGTTAAAACGTGACCCAAAAAGCGGGTATAGATGCAAATGCCCCGTAAAATAGTAGTTGTCAAGTGGGTTCAAATAAAATATTTATACAAATAACTTTAATCATAATTTATACATATACACAGTATTATTTTTTGATGAGGCAGGTCCAGTTGAACCCACTTGCCACCATGTGCGTCCGTCACTGGGATATTACAAGGTAAGCAAGCAAACATTTGAATACACCCAACTAATGAATATTACTTGCAATTTAGTTGAAATGTTTCGCTTTTTTGTGAGTCAACTAATATGAAGTTTGAATAACATTTTAAAATATTCTTTACCATATTAAAATGAAAAAATTTGCAACTTACAGTACGTTTCATATAGGTTTTTTAATATCCATATATTAAGTTTATAAAATACTGAATTGAACTAATCTAATTTAGCTTCAAAATATAGTCAAGTTGACTCTCGATAAACAAAATATGTGATCTAAATTAAAACAAAAGGAGTATATAGTAGGTATGTTTTATTTACATATACTTCTATCACTTAATCATGGTTGTTCATATGCGTTCTAACTTCAATTTTTCACTCTGCTATACTGCTATAAAATTAATGTAATTTGGTGTAAACACCGAAGATTGTGAGTAAAAACTTATACGAAGGATAGAGGTCATCAGTTAAGACCGCTACGTACTACACTTTGCCCTCGTAGTGAAAATGCCTAATTTATATCTTCTAATAAATTTCCATGGCCACTAATTAAACTACGTGGGAGTTTGGACATAAGAATAGTAAAATTTCGGAAAAAAATGGTGAAAATGGTATGTGAAAATTAGAGTTGTGTTTGAACATGAATATAATTTTGAGTTGTTTTTGAATTTTTATGAGTGATCTGAGTGAAACTTTTGAAAAACAACTTTTTGCAGTTTTTCAAATTTAAAAAATTCCAAAATTCATTTTCAAGTAAAAACTAAAAAATTTATGATCAAACACTAATTTTGAAAAAAAAATAAAAAAAATTCGGAAAAAAAGTGAAAAGATTTTCATGGCCAAACGGGCTCGTACATTTGGTTTCAAAAAAAGATTCTTTAACATCGATCTAATTATTCAATCGAATGATCTGAACATAACATAGCTAACTGGTTTGTTAAACATCTCTTTTTTTCTTTAAAATATAAATGCAGTATATAAATTTATACTGATTAAATTGAACCACTGACACTTCTATTGATAGTGTAATACAATTTGTCTAAATCGAATCTGGCCAGTGGCCAGCTAATTAATGGAATATATTTCCATTGCCACAAGTGGACTACACTCTGCCCGAACTAACTCGTAAATCTCGTATAGTGCAAGTGCCTAACTAAAATAACCATATAATGAAATTAAACCAATTCCTAACCACACAACCCAATTGAAATGTGCATACACCAAAACAAGTATGGTGTTTGGCAAATTCTAAAAGAAAAGCTGTATGTGATAAGTTGTAGTAAATGAACAGAGAGAGTAAATAAATTAAGTCGACTACAACTTTTTTTTTCCGTTGGTTCTGACTTATAACGAGAAAATTAAGGGAGTCAATACAAAATATATATGCATATAAAAATATTTATACCTACCTATACAATGTATTTTTCCAGTGAAGGGGCGTCGTGGCTCCGCCACTGACGACACTGGTCTAAGTCCATGTAAGAATTTCGTAAAAGTAACTTTTTATGGTTATGATCAGTAGCAGATACAGAATTCTTAACAAGTGGATTCAAGATATAAACTTTTTTTTTACTCAATGACATTTATAAAAGTGAACAATAAAATTTTCGACAATTGGGTTTACATAAAAAAGAAATGTAAAGCAAAATACGAATAAACTATTTTTTAAGATTAAGTTAAAATATGTTAGATCAAAACTAATACGCTAGTACGTTGTTCTAAAGTAACTTTTCTTTTTTGAATTTAAAAGGTGTATGTGGTCGAAACCGGATCATCTATTGCATGACAGACCGGGGTTGAAACGCGACGGGTTAAAGATCGACTCCGGATTATATCGAACTAAGGTACGAAGATTAGAGCATGTGTCTTCAAGACCATCGAGCCCATAGCTCCGGAACCGACCCCGACTCCAATCAAACTCAAGGAAATATTATCGGACCAAGCCGAAATATTCGTAACCGGTCGGATATCACGGCGGGAATCTCGGCACGTATGAACGAGTGACCAACTAATTAGCAAATCACGAGATTTCTTACCTTTTATAGAATTGTATCTAAAGTAGGACTCCCCTACTATATAAGGGGGTCTGATTATTTGTATGACACATGGCAATACGCATCAAAGAGCAATACACTATCATTTCTAGTTCTTATTATCTTTTTAATATGTTCTGACATCGATTGAGGCACTTCTTGGCTCGAGGGTGATCAAACTCCAAGGCTAAGACTGTTCAATTTGTGTGGTTTGCGTTTATTTTCTTATCATTAATTTCAGCATTAATCTATTTTCTCAATTTGTATCAAATTATATCACGTATCCTTAAAACCGCCTATAAATTCAATTGTTATCCGATTTTAAGGGTAAACAGTTTGGCGCCACCATGGGGCTAAGGATAATAGTGGTTACTTGGTGCAAACTTTCATAACACACACTATTTTACACTTGTTCTTTGAAGTGTCTTTGATTCCAAGACCAAAATTTCGAACTCTCAGTCAGCACCCCTACACGTTGACAATGATTTCAGCCACCACAACGAAAATGAAACATAGCACCGGGGAACGACAAACCTACGGTCGATCTCGATGGAGTCCCGACTGTAGATCCGATCGACGTCAGCTCACATGTAGCCATCAACGCAAATTTGGTCGCTGATCCCGAGGGCAGCGTCCGTAGGGATGTTCGATCAGCCGCTCAAAGCACACATGGCGGCGAAGATGGCGGAGTCAACATGCGGGTGATCTTCGAAATATTGCAGGCTTATCATGCGGCGATACCCCAGCTCCAGAACCAGAATCACCCACCGAATAGGATTGAGCTCGAGCCGTCCCAAGAAGTTGTCCACAAAGCTGAATCGGTCTCAAGGAGATCGAACGAGAAAGAATCGGGGACCAATCCTGTAATCATGAAAATGCTCGAGGAACTGACAAAACGAATCGAGTCGGGGGAAAAGAAGATCGAGGCAAACGACAAAAAGGTGGAAACTTACAATTCTAGGGTCGATCAAATCCCGGGAGCACTGCCGACATTGAAGGGCCTGGACTCCAAAAAGTTCGTGCAAAAACTTTTTCCCCAAGCGCTGCTCCCAAGCCGGTCCCCAAGAAGTTTCGTATATCCGAGATTCCTAAATACAATAGAACGACCGACCCGAACGAGCATGTCACCTCTTACATATGTACCATCAAAGGAAATGATCTAGAGAATGACGAGATCGAATCTGCCCTACTAAAGAAATTCGGAGAGACCCTGTCAAAGGGAGTTATGATATGGTATCACAATTTACCACCTAATTTTATTGACTTATTTGCTATGCTTGCAGATTCTTTCATAAAGGCACACATCGGGGCCATCAAGGTCGAGACTAGGAGTCGGACCTTTTCAAGGTAAGGCAGAAGGACAATGAAATGCTCAGAGAATTTGTGTCTCGATTCCAAATGGAACGGATGGACCTACCACCGGTCGCTGATGATTGGGTCGTTCAAGCCTTCACCCAAGGACTCAACGTTCGAAGCTCGGTGGCTTCATAGCAGTTGAAGCAGAATCTGAAGGAGTACCAGGCTGTTACTTGGGCCGATGTGCATAATCGGTACCAATCAAAGATCAGGGTCGAAGATGATCAACTTGGGGCTCCCTCCGGGTCCGTTTATCCTATCAGACCTGTCGA